ATAAGGCTATATGCCTATATGCCAATGAAATTCTCATTCTCACTGGCCAGATCTATGTAAAATGCTTCTTCAGTAGGTATCAGGAAAAGATCATATTTTGTGGTAATATGGTCACATGAAGTCAATATTTACTACAGTGCAAAGGAAGTTTTTAATAGAAAAGAATAAAGCATTTTTTATTGTACCCTATTGCTCTCTTATTTATGGAAGAGGCGTCATACTCTTCAGTGGAGAGGTCTGAATTATGTACTCGGAGCTCGGGTATCAGTTCAGGGCTTCTCACTTCCCCCACTTCACACATTGCTTCCACCGCACAAACAGACAGGCACAACAGGATCTTTATCGAGTAACAGCTCTTTTAGAGGCAGAACTTGCCACAGCAGCACACCACAGGCATTTCATCTCCATCCCTTGCTCCCTCGTGGTCCGCCCAGCAGCAAACGACTTCCTCCTGCACTGTGCTGGCTTCTCTCTGCTGCAGGGAAGCAGAAAGCTTAGGCACACAGCAGAAGTGCAAAGTTCCCAGAGACACATCCTACCAGCACGTTTTTGTCACTGGCCCTGACCCGGGATGGGGAAGTACTCCAGGAGGTGCAGAGAAGGTCAGACCAAACTTGCCAAGGGCAGCAATCTCTGGGGAACACAGAGAGGAGAGCACCAACTGCAAGAGGGAAGAGTTTGATGGTATACTAAGATCTTCTTCTGCATGCACATGGCCGTCAGCATCGTTGTAAATAATACTCCTAATAAAGAGCCAATTAGCCTAACAATCTTATTACTATCCAGCATGCAGTGTAGAAAGCACTAGCCTACGGCGTAACTGAGCAAAGGTGCATTCTCTGCTTCACATTTCCTGCTAAAACGTACGAGGCAGAAGGAGGCCTAAACAGATATGCCGGAGATAAAAAGCATGGAGAGCTGAGAGGATGGCATGCAACCTTAGAAAGAAGGTCCCATGGCCTGGTGTTTTGATCAACCCACATTACAAAAACCAGACCAACGCCCTGCAACCAGCCCGCACACCAGCCCTGCGCACCAATTCCCCAGCTGGCTCTGCCGTAGCCTCCCCGGTGCTGGGCTCGGTGCTGGGCCACGACTCTGTGCGAGGCCGGGGCACTGTGGCATGGGGACAGCACAAACCAAGAGTCAGCGGCAGAGCTGGAGGCAGACCACAGGCTTTCCTCAGAGCAGTGAATGAGGATCCTGGGGGACGGCCTGCTCAGGGAAGGTGGGGGATGAGAAGAAATCTGGGAGTTGTGGCTGTCTGCAATTTCTTAAGAAAAGAGCCTGGGACTGGAGATGCTTTACCAAAATTGTGCAAGTGACGTCTGCACAGAGACCATTCATGCTACGCCTGGCTCATGCTAGTATGGAAATTCATAGAGAATTACTTCATGGGATCTAATGACAACATAGTAAGCCGTTAAAAAAGAAGTCTTTGTCTTACATCTGTCCCTCAAACCTTAGGCTTCCATTTTTTTCTTCACAGAACTGAAAAAATATCACACAGGCTGATTTTGGCATAGCTAGCATGTAAATCATCCCGTTAGGCTTTGGGCCTCTAGCACTGGGGTTCAGCCTGAGTGACTTTTTATAGCCGAGTTATAAACTTCTAAATACCAGACTTAATCAGAGCTACTGAGATGGCCATTACAGGAGAGGTTTAAGTGGCATAGCCCTGATATATGATAGCACAGAAAGAAGGTAGGTGGCTCATCCGCAGTCGGCAATCTATTGGGGTTCTGGTGGCCAGAAGCAGGCGCAACTGAGACATAGATTTCCTGAGTTTTGCTCTTGCCCTTCTGCTACTGCCCAGTGACCTTGAGCAAGTTCCCTTGGGCTGTCTCAGACCAAAATTTAGGTGGAAAATGTGGCTCATCATGCCCTGGTTCCCCCAACATGCTAACAAGAATGCAAATACGTATCTACCTCCCCTAGGGAATTTGCAATCATTGTGGTGAATTGGCCTAGTGTTTAACATGGCATTGTGCAGACTCAAAACATACAAACCCAAATGCTTTATTTATGGTTGACTTAAAGCAACCACCCACAAAATCACAGTGAATACTTGTAACCACAGACACATCAGACACCAAAGAATATACGAGACTTTGGGCTTAAGCTTCCTGGGGACTAATGCCACTTTGCTCCTAACAGAAGACTCTGCAAAACTTCGACCCCCTTCTAATTTTGCAAGCTGTGAGACACCCGGAGGTTTCCAGCTGTGAATCTGAGAGCCTCCCCCACTCTGCAGTGTCTTTGTGGTCTAAGGAAAACTGGACAGTCGTCATTATGAGAGCAGATGCTTGGACAGAGAAATTGATCTGAAAGAAAACAATACAGGAACTTTTCAGGGTCTGCTTTCTAAATTTATTCAAGTATTAAACAAACAGAAACTACAGCATGCATCAGATACTTTATTGTACAACAAAACTATGTACTTGTTTGTAATTGCAGCATTTCCAGCAACATCAGGCAGACTTGTCGATGTTATCCAGTTTTGCACAGTCACTAGAGTGTCGCATCATGAATTATTAAATCAGTGCTTCGTGGTAATACATAATTTCTTATCTATTATTCATGCTAATGTGCATGTAGTTTACTTAATTGTGTTATTGACGATCAAAAGTAATTTCCTGAAAATCCTCAAGGACAGAAAATTTAATCAGCATAACTACTTTTCAGATGCAATGCTGTTAAGTATTCTTAATTTCCTCAACAATTCACTTATTTATGTACCTTTCTGGAGGAAATACGAGTTTAATCAAACAATTAGATTGAAGAGTTAGTGTACAGAAAGGCTGAAGTTCAACTGAATGCAAGGTAATTATGTTGAAATGAAGTTTGGCCTGCCTCTTTGGAGTGGATTTTTTTTTCTAGTCTTTTTTTTTGGGGGGGGAATAAAAAAAAACTGTGATTAGGAGGATCGCTGAGAAAACAGTGATTCGCCCCTCTCCAACCACTCCCCACAACAAATAACACAGCAATCTATTTTATTTTGGTGGAAGAGATAGGTTGTGGCTATTGTTTAAACTAAGCCATAATTTGCAGCCAGGGAAGCCACCTCCACCTATAGTTTAGCAGAGCAGCTCCTGAAGCTGGATGACAGACTACTGCATGTTCCCTCTGCAGTTAGGACAGTTCAGAATTGCCAAAAGAAACACACGGTGTGGCAAAAGTAAGGCAAAATGACTCCAGCTGATGAATGTGGGCCCTGTCAGACTTCTCTTTGTACTTGGACCCAAGGACAGACCCAGAACTGCCCTCCCCAGCTGCTTGTGTCCGGAAGACAAAAACCCCACCCTGGGCGAATGTCCAACACCTTTTACTCTGGAGCAATGAAGGTGCTTGGTGCTGCCAAGCCACTCCCAGAAGACTAGGGCGTCCACCCTTTGAACAGGTGCTGACAACCAAACCCTGTCTCAGGGAGAAGAAGGTGGGCACCAGGGGGTGCGGGAGGGTCCGGTGAGCCCCAGAGAAGTCCCAGGTTCTGTGAAATTCATCGGCTGAGATCATTTGGATAGGGGAGAGAAATTTTCACTGCCAGCTGCCTTTCCAAGCACATCCCCAAGCTCAGGTCCTGTGAGAAGCCAAACACAACCCAGTGTAAAAGTGTGTGCACAACGCATTGCCTCACCAAGACGCACAAGATCAGAGCTGATGGGAATCACTCCACTCAGAGCTGACGGGAATCTTTCCACTAGCCTCCATGTCACTTGGTCAAGTCTCAGAGCACTGGTTTAACCCTGTTCTCCAGGGACATCTGCGGACAAGCCTAAGAAGACTGCAAAAGGCACCTGAGAAAAGCAAGTCCATGCCACTAAGTTTAAATCTGCATCTGCATTTCCCATGGAAAAAATGTGGGGCACCCCAGATTAAAATGCCTGCTCTAGAGCATCAGATCATAGTCTGCTTTTTGGGGAGTTGGGGTCAGAGATAAGACTGTATTTCCTGAGGCATCAGTTTCTCCTTTGCACTGTCCTCACTCTGTAAGAACTGAGACCTTTTCACGTTTAGATTCATTACAACCAGCCTTCAGTGAATGGAATAGTCTGATTTTGGATGGCATAAAGGAATATCCTTCCAAGCTTTATTTTCTCTTTATTAATAACAAAACATGCAAAGACATATTTGCAGTGCTGCAATGCAGTATTATTTTGTTTTCCAGTCTTTCTTTCCAAGAGAATGATGCTAAAATACCCCCAGCTTTTTGCAGACCTGAACACAACAGCACTCTCTGTCAAATACCAGCATCACTGTTTGAAGCTATGAATGCTGCTCTGGAGCTAGGTGTCTTTTCTGTCTAACCCAGGGAATGGCAAGAGTAACAGGTTAATGTTCACATAGAGACTAGTGCAAGGATTTTATTTGCAGGTAAACTGATCTCAGCAATTTCACAGTAATCTACTCCATGGAAAATTTTGCTCTTTTGGAAAAAAAGGGAGAAGGAATAAAATATGGAGAGTTTCGTTCTGTTTTCTGCTTCTCTTTTATCTGCCTTGCCTGGGATAGGTTTGGTTGAAGTCAAATGCCATCAGAAAACAGCACGCCAGACTGGTATATACCTGCATATTCCTTCACCTCTGTTGTGTGCGGTGGGGTAAGTGATGTCTGGATGCCTCTCCTTCCCCGGACCTTGCATTAGGAAGCACTGCCCTTCTGCCAGCCTTCCATCTCGCACAGGGTGGGGAGCTGAGATGTGCTGGAGGAAGCCAGGATCCCAGGTGTTCTGGTGTCCCTGGGATGTGGAGAGGGGCTAAAAACAGTTTCACAAACATCTCCAAATACAGATAGTGCCAGTAAATCAGGGGAATGAACCTACAGCGGCACAAGAAAAGCAAGTGTGTGTGAAAGCCAGACAAAGAGGTCACTCGGGTTTGCCGGGTCGCTGGTGGCCCTGTGATGTCCTGCTAGGACACGGCCACACTGCAGTACACCCCGTGGCAGAGTCCCAGTGGCACGTTCCTGCCCTGAGCAGAGGGGCCAGCACCGGTCCAGTCTCATACACTCTTCTCCCCTTCCATGTGCTCCTTGGCTGGAGAGGGCTGCTTGTCCTGGCTGCCCTCGGGGACAGATTTGGCAGGAGGAGTGGGGCTGCTGCTGGTGGCAGGCAGGAGGTTGGCAGACTGAAGCACAGCCTCCGAGTGCTCCCGGGCCTTCATGCGCAGTGCAGCCACACTGGCGGTGCGGGTGGCGCCCATGGGGTCTGGAACACAGCATGAGCACAGCGGGCTCCCTGGGGAGGAAGGAGACAAGGCACCATCACTGATGGGGAAGGTCATGGGGACTGCCTGACTGGTCCCTCCACGGTCAATCTGGAGAGGGCAGAGATGGGGTTGGGGTCTCAGATGGCAACAACCCCCTCCCCTATTGACCTTTAGTGAGTACGTAGATGTTCTCTGGATCAGGGCTACAAAAGCCAGATCCTGTTCTGCCAAAGCCCACCATGACGGATCTTACCCTGTGAGCCACCCGGGGTGACAAATGGCACGAGTGAGGCAAGCAGACTCAGAAGCAAGCAGTGCAGTTTAGGTCCCATATAAGATTTCCCCGCAAGCAAGGCTGAGCTTATCCCCAGCTCTCATCCAAAACTGGTGCTCTGTGGCTTCCATCAGCCACAGGCTGAGCGTGTCCTCTACCCTCCACCGGCACACTGAAGCCTGATCAATCAGCTGCATTTGTCGGGTGAGTGTAGGGGTGCTCTCACCTATTTACACCTGAAAGATTACTGCAGAGAGAAAGGTGAAAATATTCTGGTTATTATGCAGGAACTAATGACCTTCCCCACCTCATTGTAAGATGAGATAGGCTTTTCTTTGGCCAGGCCCCTGCCAACTGCTGGCATCATGTCTACCTGCAACGGTCTGTTCTACCTTCACCCACCCAACGTCTGTGCTGCTTAAGGATGACACTTCAAAGAGAACATCCTCCAGAAGTGAGCCAAGGCCACCTAAAGCTCCTGCTGACATGACTGAAGAGTCCCATCAGGAGACACAGGCCAGACCATCTCTACCTTGTCATCTGAGACACATGGATTGTTTCAAGCAAGCAATAAAACACTGGAGAGAGGGTGAAAAGGATATTGCTCCCCCTTTAAGCTAAAAGGCTCCCCTGCAACCTGCTGACAGAGGCAGTCCTCACTCCCCCAGCTGCCTTCCTGAGCTGGACAACTCTTCCTCTCGCTTATCTTTGATAACACTGGGACTTGGATCAGTTCCCAAACAAACATGCCTGGAAGTCTAGGTTGACCACTGGGCAGGACATGTAGTCCATCCAAAAGCCACCCTGGCACCTAGTGTAGATGCATCTGTTGAATGAAGGAGAATGTGGCAGAGGAATAGGGAGGGGAGGCAGGGTGGAATGGCTGAGCTATTACTGTAATTTGCTCTCGCATAAGAAATATTAGGTGACGCCATTTTTCCAGGGATCTCAGAGGCCACACAAAGTCCACACCCTCTTCTATGCCCCTGGCAAAAGCTTGTCCTTTGCTGATACTCTACCTCTCGACAAGAAACAGCCCAGCCGTGCATACCCTGACATGATGCACTGTCTTCCTCTGATCTTTCCAAGCCAAGGACTTGCTTTAATTTCTGCAGTTAATATTTGAGTTAAATGGCTCATGACTAAGTGATGGAACTAATCACCTGCAGGGAGCAGGTATTCTTTTTTTTTACACTTCTGCTTTGAGTAGCAGCGGGTCAGCACCCATCTGCTGGGGATGAAGGCAGATAGTTTTTTGTTTTTAGAATGTTGGCAAGACTTCTCCACAGCAGTTGTCAGAGATTAGCAGCTTGCAAGTAACATTCAGGAAAAAGTACTCTTTGCATTTTAAGAAACAGAATACACAAAGGACAAGTTATTAATGTAAGTGGAAATTCTTATTTTCTCTTGTGATACTCCTCTGACAGACCAACATTTCCATGGATCCAGGCATTCGAAAGAATTGCACAAGCATGTTTCAGCACTTCACTAAAATCCTACATTTTTTGCTTTTAGCGTTAGTAAGCTCAGTCTTGAACTCTGTGGCTGCTTTGAGCAGGTCAGAAGAACGGTTTATAGCAAAATCCCCTCAGTAACACAACTCACAGTTTTTGCCACCAGCATCCATGCTCATAAAGTTACCATGCTCATAAAGTTATTTTTTGCCCGGCTGAACTGCACCCACTTCAGGGGTTTTGGACAGCCACTGTCTTAACAGAGAGAGGAAGATCAGCACTTCAGAGTCCCTACAGTCTGCAGCAGGTCTTCAGCTGCAGAAGCCATGCAGAAGTCTGTTTTTTCTCTGCTATTAAGCCCCAATGTCTTAAGCTTCAGCTCTGAAATGGGGGACTGTGGAGGTCTGCCTGTGCATCAGCTGTCTTTGCACTGCTGCTTTTTAACACAAACAGGGTAAGACTTTCGAACACGGCTGTTCAGCTCCCAAGCTGAGCGGAGGCCTGGCCCGTCTCCGGTATCTAATGCAGGAGTGAGCACAGACAGTGTTTGCTTAGTAAAAAATTCAAAAGAGCAGGAATCAGCTCCATCCCCTCAGAATAATTTTCACTCCATTGTTAGAGAGGGATAAAATATTTATCAATCTTCAGTACCAATCTAAGCTCTTTGCTTAATAATTAGACCTGATATTACCTAGTGGCTCTGCAACCTGAGGGTGCAGTTACCTGTGGTGGAAACTAGGCTATCTCTAACAATAATTCACCCATAAACCATTCCTTTCCTTTTCACCGAGGCTAAAACACTTGCAAACATCAGTTCACACCCAAAAAAAATGTAAACTAGCGAGTGTCATTTGCAACAGGGTCCAGCTAGGATACAGGAGAGTAGGATTTAGCCCTGTTTCTTTTTAATGTAGGTTGTAAGGAAGGTTGAATGTACCTCACAATTGCTTGTGTCTGTGGGTAGTAAGTCCAGTGAAATCTGTCAGATCTTGCTGGCGCAAAAGCCAAGACAAACAGTGGGAGATTCAGGAGCCCAATATCTCCACTCTTCCCACGATGGACGAGGATGTGACTTTCATGAAGAAAGAGGCTTCCATATATAGCAGACATCAATGTTTTTTTCATCTTATTGCAGTAACCTTGACTCCACAGTGGGGAAGAAAGGAATCATTCCTACTTATTTCAGATCCTCAGAGGAGTTTAGGCACCAAGGTCCCATCAAAATCAGTGAGAGTTAAGCTGTTAGCCCTAGATCTTGATCAAGCTTCCACTAATATTTATGACATTCTGATCTTACTTTAATGGAATGAAGTTGCTACAATACAGACAGGGTACAGCTTGCTTTCTTTCAGGAACTGACTGCCTCCTATACACAAAATTAAAATACACAATTAGATTTCCATTAACTTACAGCAAATTCTGCTGAATTGATCTGAACCTCCTTGTATTCCTATATGAGATCATACTTTAAATGCTCAGCCTGAACATAAATACTTAATGTAATAAATACAGTCTGAAATATTTGATCCACTCGGCAGTTTAATTGATCTACTACAGAGACTGACAGGAAAAATTAAATTAGTTCTGTCTTGTCTCTGCCAAAATTACATTTCAATTGCAATGATATGTGATCTACAATTTTGGTTGCGGACCCTTTTGTGCGGTTCCAAGGTTCAGTTTCAGCTGAGAATAGTGGGGTGGGAACCAGGCCCATATTGATACATAAGTATTTAAAATACATATTTTGTATTTCAGCTCAATATTTTAAAGAATTTGATAGATAGCCTTTCCAAAAGGCAAAACCCCTGTTCCTTTCCTCTTTCAGTATTTGTGTATTTGATGCAGATATCTGAACAGCAACCTGACATGGAGGGAAGCGAGGAAAAACTCCTGTTTAAAATCCTCACCTGTCAATGCATGCTGTTTAATTTTCACATAAAATATTATGCTTGATTTAAGTATTGTTTTCTTTTGATGATAGTCACATTAGTTTTCTTGAGCTCTAAATCCTCATAAACCGAAATCACTTTCACAACAGCTGGAAGGTCAACAACAACCTTGAGTCCATAGTGTCATTTACCAGTGAGAGCTGATTCAAAGGGAGCTCCCTCTTGCTCTTCATACATGATGCCAACACTCTGTCTGTTAAAGCCTGAGGGACAAGCAGGAAAAACAAAAGTGGCTTTATTCAAACCTTCTTGAGCTCTGAATGAGGAAGTTCAAAAGAACAAGAAAGGTATGAACTCAGATGGAGAGGTACCAGATGCTCCCAGTACTATTTAGGGCAGCCTCAAGGCTGTTAAAATTTTGCTAGATGATTCGTCCTTCTAGTGCCTAAGCTGGTTAAGATTGCAAGGCCCCCTGTACTGCACAGAGGCTGGAAGGGTGTTTCAGAGCTGACAGTAGAGTCCAAATATTATAATTTCACATCTCCTTGGCTTGTGAAACATATATGTCCAATGCAAACAGCAAAGAGCTGATGGTCTGGGTCAGTTGCTCTAACAGGAGCTTTTTTGTGTAAATAACTTGACACTGGGACCGGAGGATTTCATCCTCCTGTTTTTGTGCCATTAGTACTGCTCAAAAAAAATAATTCAGAAGCCAGGACATGTCCTGTTTGGATTGGAAAGATGGCAGCAAAGCCCACACAAGCTGGGAGAACAGAGCCAGTCCTTTGAATGCTGTCAGCTCAGCAACCATTTATCACTTTTCCCTTCCATATTAAAAACATGAGCTGACCCTAAATCCTGCTGACATATGTCACTCCAAGATGGGTCAATAGGAATCCCTGCCCATCTAAGGTCCACTAACATATTTAAGATTTGTCCTGGAGGAACAAGCCAGCACTGATTTCCTTCCCTTGGCTCTTAGGGCTCCTAGTATCTGCATATTCCTTAATATTTGTGATAAAGACCAAAAAAATCCACCTGAGAGGTAGAGCAGTGCTAGAGCCAGAGACCAGATACAGGTATTGAAGTAATTTGCTCAAGGTCTGTGCATCTGCAGCAAACTAAAGAAATGTTTTAAATATTCCGAAGTCACAGTGGCAGGTGAACTAGGGAAAATGCCAAACAGAACCCACTTCATATATTTGCTGTATTACATGAGGAAAGTCAGTAAGTTCACAATCAAGAATGGCAGAAAATAAAGGACCCCAAGAGTTTTGATTTCTGTTCCCCAGTCTTACGGTAAGCAGTGGTGCTTCACTTCAGTAAACACCAGTTCAAGGGCAAGTTAGGTCTTTGAACACTGCTTTCTCAGCCTCAGCAATGGGAATTGCCCAACGGAATCAGGCAAATTC